ATCATCAACAGGAATGCACGTAAAGAGTGATGTGACATCAAAAGAGACCATTGTTTCATCAGTCTCCATGATGACATCCCTCACCTTGTCCACAAAGTCCATGGTGTTCTGTATGTGGTGTTCTGAGCTGCCAACTAAAGGGATGAGTACAGACGCCAGATATTTGGAAACATTGTAAGTGACAGAGTTAATCATACTAACAATTGGTCTTAAAGGTACACCTTGTTTGTGGATTTTAGGTAAACCATACAGACTAGGTGTGGCCTCCCCTGGGTACAGTCTGTGGTACAGAAAACGGTCAATAGCCTTGTCCTGCTCCAAAATTTTCATGCAATCTATTAACTTTTTCTTGTAACCACTTCCTGGATCTCTTTTCAGAGGTTCATAAGTGTTTAAGTCACTAAGGAGTGTCATAACTTTCTCATGATAGTCTTTCTGGTTCAAAATCACTGTGCGCCTTCCTTTGTCTGCTGGGAGAATGATGATGTTTTTGTCCTTGCTAAGAGTGGTGAGTCCATCCCTCTCCTCTCTACTGATGTTGGAAGGTGGTGGTTTGGCATTGCTGAGGCAGGCTGAAACTTTGATTCTGAGCTGTTCTGCTTCTGTCACAATCCTCACAGTTGGAACCCATTTGCAGGGAGGCGAGAGAGGCAGGAGTTTAAATAAAAATAATTTATTTAAACAACAAAACAAAAGGCTGTCGGTGCAGCAAAACTTACTTTGGCAAAAACAGGATCAAAAACAAGGCTGAACAGGACATCAGAGTACACAGGCAGAGCAGATCATCAGGTGGACAAAAAACAGACAGGACAGAGGAGGACTGAGATGTCTGTGAATACAGAACAATGACCGGACAAGGAGTGGAGGAGAGAAAGGCTTTTTATAAGACAGAGGGAGAGTGAGTAATGAGAGCACCTGGGCAGGTGGCTGATGAGGGACAGGTGTGAATGATAAAGACTGAGGAGTGGAGAGGCAGACTGAGGAGTGAGTGGAAAACAGGACCAGATACACAGGAACAGAAACCACACAAAGAGCAGAACAACAAGAGCACAAAAAGCAGAGTGGGGAACACAAACACAAACACAAACAGGAAATGGTACAATCCTTACAGCTTCAGCCTCTTTAATTTTGTTGTTGAAACAGAAGAGGAACGATGGTTTGAGAGATTAGTAAAGGAGGCCTCCGGGTTCAACTGTCCCCCTCTTACAATGCTGTGATTGCTAGTATCACTCAGCCCTCTGTGAACAGTAAACAGCCATCAGTGTGCTAATGATCCATTGTTAGGCTGATGGTCCTTCTTGAGCATGTGATCAGCTGGTTTTGGTTGTCAGCAGCAAAACTGGTTGATCCACTCTGAGACGGTGCTATTTAAGAGACTGAGCTGAATACAGCTCCTCAGACTGAGGAAGTCTCTCAGATGAGAGACAAAACGTTTTTACATTTTTTTGTTGATTTGCTTTGTTTTGTTTTTTGAATGTCCAGAGGACCAGATTTAACTTTTTTAGATGTATCTCAAACATTTCCCGTTCTTAATTCCACAACTGGCTAGGCTTGTAGACCATCACTTTGTCACACCATCAAGATGCTAAGCCAGCTTTTTATGTTGAGCATTGTCACTACCTTGCTTGGTGGTTAAAATACTTTACAGAGGTAGGCCGACTTTAATTCCTTGTGCTGCCTCAGTCAGAACTCACAATGAGATGATCAGAGGGCATCTCGGGCCCTGCTTGTAGCATTTTTAAAGGAGTTTTCATTTCCAAACCCCTGTAAAATATTCCCACACTATGATGCTGGTGTGATCATGTTTGAGTGGTGAGTTTACTAAGACAATAAGAATGTACAGTGCCTGCTCCTCCATGCTTGCTGCAAAACCCATTCACTGTTAATTTTGTACTTAATAAGCATTTGGAAATTTTGAGCCTATTTATCACAAAAAATACTTATACTTAGAATTTCTTTATGTTTAGTAAACGGTAAAAGAAGGCAATAGGTGACATTGTGTTTAAAAATGTAACAGGGTTTTTACTGACCTACTGTCACATTAGAGACATATGACCAACACAGCTGTGTGACACTTTTGAATCTCATATCAGATCTCTAACAGGAAGAGGAGGCATTGTGCGCAGAGAAAGAAAAAGGGGAGACGGGCTGGTGTGTTAGCAAGATTGAAGGCTAACGCTAATAAACTGTTTGCCACTCTCTTCCTGTCCAATGTTTGTTCTTTTGAAAACAAGCTGGATCTGTTGCGACTGAGAGTGAGTGCCTTACAGGAGATGCAGAACTGTGCTGTACTCTGTCTCATAGAAACATGGCTTAATATCAACATGCTGGACTCAGAGTTCCAGCTGGATAACACTTTTTTTCGAGTGGACCACTACAGAGAGCTAATGGGGAAGACACAGCAAGGTGAAGTATGCATCTACATAAACAAAGGTTGGTCCACAAACTGTGTTCTGATGAACAGTTCCTGCTTCAAGACTTTAGAACAACTGACTTTGAAATGTCAAACACATTATTTACTTTGTGAGTTTTCAGTGGTATATGTCATTGTTGTCTACATAGCCCTTGATACTAATGCTAAAGATGCTCTGCATGAGCTACATGGTCTCTCTTGTAAATGAGTCCTCATGGCTCAATAGGACTAACATGTTTAAATAAAGGTTGAATGAACATGATAACATCAGCTCACTTCAAAACAAGCATCTGGAGGCTTTTTATGTAGTGGCTGGTGATTTAAATCATGTAAATCTGAAAGTCACTTTGCTAAAGACTCCAGTATACTGCCGCGTACGTACGCGTGAACGTACGTACGCGTGTACTGTACGCAGAGGGTTCAGACTTCATACTCCAGCATACACCCCGAGCAGCTGCAGAGCAGCTTCACAGACAAAGGGCGTTTACCTTCGGGACAAATTGAGGTCGCCGATTGGTCATTTGCTGACACGCCTACTGGATTGATTGGCAGGTCAGAAAAAAAGAAAAAAAGCGAGCGCTGGCAGCCTCAGCCACAGCGGTGTTCTGTGTTTATATGTTGTTAATGAAAAGATCTAAAAAAAATTTAAAAACACTGAGCGCTGGCTCTACAGCCCACACATCAGACCAGCCCACCAGGAAATCTCCAGACCCTCCTGCAGCAACGTTGGACCTGAGTTTAATTCGCTCATGACAAATTCTTCCCTTTCTCACCATTTCAGTCATGGCATCAACGGAGGAGGAAGAGATCACTGCCTCTTGGCAAAAAACAAAACAAAAGAAAAGGCCAGATCAAGGATGAAGAAAGGGAATTTAATACATTGGTGTCGCATACAAAACAGTTCGTCGCTGGGCAGTTTATTGTGCAACACCGCGTACGCGTATGCCGTCGTAAAATTTGAGCTTTGCACGGAGGGTACGCTGGGGGGTATGCACGTACCTCTGTGTACGTACGTGCGTACCTCTGCGTATGGATGTATGCAGCAGTATACTGGGGGCTTAAGATTTTATCAGCATGTGGACATTCCAACACAGGGAAATAACACACTCGACTGTGTTTGCACCAACATACAAGATGCATACAAAGCCATAACCTGCTCTCAACTTGGCCTCTTTGACCATTTCTCCATCTTTATGGCCCCTGTCTACCTCCCGCAACTGAGTGGTTCCAGACCCACACAGAGGACCATCACCGTATCACCCAGCGACAGTGATTCTATACTGCAGGACTGTTTTGCATGTACAGACTGGCAGATTTTAGGGGGGCTGCTGTAAAAGAGGGAGAGCTGAATCTGGAAGAATACACACCTGCTGTCCTCGAATACATCAGCAAGTGTGTTGATGATGAAACTACCACCAGGACTGTGAAGTGCTACCCAAACCAGAAACCCTGGCTGAATGCAGAGGTCCATACCCTGCTGAATGCCAGGGATAGTGCCTTTGGGTTTGGTGACTCACAGGAACTGGGGAGGACAAGGAAAGAGCTGGCTGCTGGAATTAAGTTCAAGTAGGTTTTATTATCATTCGCATCACATGGGACACATGAGGTGGAACGAAATTGTGTACACAGGGTCCCAGTTACATCCAACAATAGCAAATTAAGAGGGCCAAAGCAACATATACAAGGAAAATCCAGGGGCATTTCACCTCACAGGACCCATGGAGAATGTGGAAGGGTATTAAGTGCATCACAGACTATAAAATTCGGGGTGCCCAATGCCCTAGGGATCCATCACTGCCTGATGCTCTTAACAGGTCCCATGCCTGCTTTGAACATCCAAATAGATTACCCAGCACCAGACTTAACTCATCATTGGAAGAGGAGTTCCTCAGCATGACCTTAGGAGAAGTAAGAAGGACCTTCAGGATTAATCCTCACAAAGCAACTGGCCCAGACAACATCCCTGGCAGAATGCTGAAAAACTGTGCTGATCAGTTCTGTGAGGTGCTGGCCGATATCTTTAAATTCTCCTTCACCCTGGGAACTGTTATCACCTGCCTGAACAGTGCCACCATCATCCCAGTTCCAAAGAGCTCTGTAGTGACTGGTCTGAATGACTACTGGCGAGTAGTCCGCACCCCGATAGTCATGAAATGGTTGGAAACCCTGGTCATGGCCCACATCAAAGCTACCATCAATATCAGCAAGGACCCACACCAGTATGCATACCACAAAAATTGATGAACAGAAGATGCCATCTCCTCTGTGGTCCACACTGCTCTCACCCACCTGGAGAAGACTCCTGTATGCTCTTTGTGGACTTCATATCCACCTTCAACACCATGATTTCCCAGACCATGTTGGACAAACTACAAAGTATATACGTTAGGACTAAGCCCCTCCCTCTGCAACTGGGTCCTGGACTACTTAACCAACAAACTGCAGTCTGTGAGGATCAACAATTTCTCCACCTCCACCATAACCCTTAGCACTGGCTTCCCTCAGGGCTGTGTGTTGAGCCCCATTCTGTTCACTCAGCTCACATGTAACTGTGCACCTACCCATCCAGGATGTCAAATTGTAAAGTTTGCAGTTGATACAGCAGTGGTTGGATGCATCACAAACGGTGATGAGTTCAGCGACAGGCACGAGGCAGAACACCTGGAGAGCTAGTGCAGGAAACCTTCACATCAATGTGAAGAAGACGAAGGAGATGGTCGTAGATTTCAGACGGAGCAACCCCCAGGATCTGCAGTGGAAGTGGTCTCCAGCTACAAGTACTTGGGTGTGCACCTGAATGACAACCTCAGCTGGGGCAACAACACTACCAGCTTGATCAAGAAATCACATCAGTGATTCTACTTCCTCAGGCGGCTGAGGCGAGCTGGACTGGGAAACTCAGTCCTCACCTCCTACAGGTGTGCAGTGGAGAGCATCCTGTGCTACAGCATCAATGTGTGGCATGGAGGCTGCACAGCTGCAGAAAGACAAGCTTTGCAGTGAGTGGTGAAGGCTGCACAGAAGTCTGTTGGGGTCAGCCTCCCCACCATCACAGATATCTATACCTTCAGATGCAGGAAGAGGGCCACCTGCATCATGAAGGACTCCACTCACCCAGCACACACACTTTTTGCCCCGCTCCCCTCAGGAAGGAGGTTGCAGCGCATTAAGTGTAGAACCCCTAGACTGAGGATCAGATTCCACCCTGAAGCTGTTAGACTCATAAATCTCTAACCAAGATAATTACTGTAAGAAAAAAATAAATAAATCACTGTAATGCCACTTATATGTGCTGTTCATTATCCACGATGCTGATCTCATGTTGCTATATTCATTCATATGTATCTGCTCAACACAGATTCATGTTCAGGCTGCTGTCGTTACGCCATATTGTTTTACATTATTAGTGTGTAGCGTATATCTTAGATCATTTACTGTTTCTTTTTATACTTTATATTTTGCCATTTTTTGGTGTAACTGGGACCCTGTGTACATAATTATGTCCCACCTCATGTATCACAGGTGATAGAAATGACAATAAAGTTGGCTTGAACTTGAAAAGTATTATAAAATGTGTTTACTAGTTTTATGTCAGGAGAAGAAGAGGACGCTAAATAGTAAATGGTAAATGATAAATGGACTGTAAATAAAAAGTTTTGTAAGTTTAATCGTCCAGGTAGTTAAATCCCAACAAGATTAAATCATGACATCTGGACAAGTTTCTTTAAGGGAGAAACGTTTCGTCTTTCATCCGAAAGACCATCGGCCTGCTAACCCAGATCTGTCTCACAAATATCACCTCCTTGATGTCATGTACATGACATGACATCAAGAAGGTGCTATTTGTTTAGAGCCATTGTCAGGATTACTATTAGGAGTGATTTCAAGTCACACACTTTAAGACCAGGGCAGCTCAGTGGCGAAGTGTTTGGAGCTGTTGCCTCAAAACGAGTAGGTCGCAGGATCTCCTCCTGGCCTAAGGCTTTTCTTGTTGGAGATTGAATTTTATTCTGGAGCCAGTGCTTAATTTGAGCTGGATCCTGCTGGAACAGGATCCATGAATTCTCTTACTTTGACAGGGTGTGTTCCGGTAACTGTTTGCTTGAATCCAGCAACTCTTAAGCCTATTAATAACAAAGTTATGAACAAATATGACTGCCTTGAATGAATAAAACTTATATTGGATATGTAAACTGAAAATAATTACATAAACACTCATTTTAAACACAACAGCCACTTATGACTTCTTAATATCACATACATATCATATACGATCTGCCTCTTTAAGTAAGCATTTCTGCC